AAATCTAAGCCTAAGGTAATTAGATCTCCTAATTCTAGAATGAAAAGCAACATGGTAATAAAATCCTAACATAACTAAAATACTAATTGTCTTGACTTGCACTCCAATTAAATTGAAGCACAAGTCCTGCGCACGCCCTAAGACCACCGCCTCGCGTACGCCGCCCTTCGGCCACTACTCCTTGTTGCGTGCGGTAACCCGCGCGCTTGACTCCCACGCAGCGTCTATCGTCCCCGACATCCATGCGCGCACCGTGTCACGCGCGTCGCTTCCAGCCCCTCCTATTCCTTCCGCGCATAGGCCTGCGCTCGCGCCTGTCGCCCACTCGTGTGCCATCGTGCGCCCATCTCCTTGTCCGTTAATCTCGTGCGCGTATGTCCCGCTGCCCCGTACTCCTACGCCTGCGAGGTTTCGGTTGCCGCCCGTGTGGCCTTCACCCGCGCGCCCAGCTCGCCTGCCGCTCGCTGCCCGCGCGTACCTCCCATCGCCCGCGATCCGATCGCCTACCGTGTACCCGCGTACACCCAATGCTGACCGCGTACTGACCACCCGCTCTCGCGCATCACCGCCCGATGCGCGCCTTTCGCCCATTTGACCCTTGATCACCCCCGACCACTCTTCGGCCTCGACAACCACTTCCGTATCATTCCCCTCCTCTTTAAGACATTCCTTGTCCTCAAGGATGAGAAAGTTCAGCACGTCCACATCGATCTCTTCTTCTTCAACGGGGAGTTCACCTTGATCCTCAGTTCTTAACTTAATGCGCTTTCCTGGTCATCCAAACTCCATCTTTCCTCGCTTATAGTCAGTCGTAATGGGTCCAAGCGTTTCCAGCCATTGTACTCCTAACACAATATCTGTTGCCTTAAGCGGTAAGGCGTAAAGATCAATCTCCAGCTCGTGATCCTGTGCCATTATCGGGACCTTCTTGAATAATTGACTTCCCTGAAGCTCATGTCCATTGGCCACCTTGACACCAAACTTCTTGACTTTTGTGGGTACTAACTTCAGCATTTGGGCTATCCTTTCGTCGATAAAATTTACACTCGACCCACTGTCCACCAGGACCTCTAACAACATATCCTTGATCTCGGCCGTGAATATGATCATCCTAGGACCACGCTTGTTGCACTTCACCATATGCAACCAGGATTCTTCCTGCGGCTTTTCTTCCTCTCGTTCCTCCTCAATTTCCAATACAAAAACTTCCTTACCCTTGCACTTGTGGCCTGGCGCAAATTTCTCGTTGCAAGTAAAGCACAAGCCTTTTTCTCTTCGCCTTTGTATCTCATCCTCCGTCAGTCATCGGTAGTTGCTAGTGGTGCGTGTACCATCGCCGACTGTTGGCTTGACCTCGGCCCATGAGGGAGTATCGTCGACCGCGACGCTCGCGCGCTGAACGTCCGTGCGCCCTTCGCTCGGTCTGGCCTTGCGCACTGCCGCAAGATGATCCTCGTGCAGTCGTGCCGCTTCCATGGC